ATTTTTCTTGTTTTCTCATTTTTATGTGTTATATGTACATATTTTTATGTGTTGATGTCGTATTTTCTTGATTTTCATGTGTTATATGTACATATTTATATATTTAGGTATTCGTATATTCATTCTCTGTATTATTGGGCCTTGACCCATTTAACTGGGCGTTAATCCATTTACCGGGCTATTTTGAGTGGGATTTATTTGGTTTATTGGGCTTTAATGAGATTTATTCGGTTTAATGTAAATATTAATAATTAATTAAATTTTTAGTTATTAATTAAAAAAGTAATTAAATAAATTAAATAATTAAAAAAAATACATTTTTAGCGACGGAATTTCCCTCGRAAATCCRTCGCTGATATCAACTTATGAATAAAACCCATCATCTAGGTCAAGCCCCCATTATCAGATTCTACACATTTTGAACACATCGGTTCCTTCCCGTCGYTACCACCACCGTTTTAACACATAGATCGATCGGTTCCTTCCCGTCTTGTCGCGATTTGCCGACCACCACCGTCTTCCCATTGCCGACCACCACCGTCTTCCCGTTGCTAACCACCGTCGCCGAGCAACAGCAAGTCACCGGACCTGTTGCCAACCACCACCGCCTTCCCGTCGCCGACCACCACCATCTTCAAGCAACAGCAAGTCGCCGGACCCGTTACCAACCACGACCGTCGTCTCCATTTCCAACCACCACCGTCACCATTTCCACCCTCTCGGTTTACTTAGGTACCCTTACTTTTTATGTAAAGAAGTAGAAAATCGAACAATATTTGGGTTACATTTAGAGTGTATGCAGATCCAAAAACATCCAAAGTTTGGGGATGATAGTAAAAAAGAAGTCATGAGTCCATATACAAAACAAGTGCAGATGCCGTTTTGGTTTTAATGAATACAAAAGTCATGATAGTAAAAAAGAAGTCTCGGTTTTGGTTTTAATGAATACAAAATTATGTTGTAATTTTGGGAGGAATTGCATTCGAATGTTTAGTTGGTGTTGTAATTTGTACAAAACAAGTGCAGATGCCGTTTGTGAATATATTTGTACAGAACCAAGTATTGGAATTTTAGAAGCTTATGTTTTGTGTAAACCGTGCAAACCGCTTTCATCCGTCGAATGAAGTTTGCACGGTTTGTACAAATTGAGTGGTTTGCATTTGATCGCTCCCCTACGTATATATGTATATATGAACTGGGAGTTCCATGCTCATATCTTCTTGATATGATGGGAAATATTAGTAACAAAATTGCTCCCTAGAGGTTTTACGAGACAATTTCTGCATGCAATTAGGCACATTGGTTTGAAAATGTTAGTTATTGAAGTTTTGTTGCGACATGTTCATTTCTTTCAAGTGGTTGAAGGAGAAGAAGTTAAATATTTACGTGGAACCACGAGAAAGAACGGAACTTGTATCAGAGTCCCCATACTACAACTTTTTGCAAACCTAGAAAGATGGTGAGCCATGCAACCCATTCTGATTTCCAGAAGTAGAATTAGACCGTCCATTCTTCAGTTAGTACAACTTAGAATTACCCTTTCAATTTCTTATTTCAAGTATGTTAATATGTTACTTTCAAATGCGGTTACTACACATAACTTTTTATAGTTGCACAACAACAATAGTTTTTCTCCCATATGAGTTGCAGTTCTTGTTGAGATGCTATGCGATTCATACTGAACCAAAATGAAGTAACATTATATTGTGATATTAAAGAATTCAATGAAGTTATATGTAGAGCGAGCATTTATCTTATGTCTATTGCCGTTAAGTTCAAGGATAAGCTAGAAAATTCTCTTGTTGATCATTCTCGTCTTGTTATTCAYAGAGGATGGCATTTTGCTTCTGCATGAGAAAGTTGATCTTGTTGTAACTCTTGGTGGGGATGGAACCGTGCTTTGGGTATGTGCTTCCATTTCCATTTCTTCTTGAACCAAATGATCTAAGAACTCTTTCTGTGATGTTTTAATCAATTTCATAGTGCAGTTCATACTTTGTGGCTTGTGTAGGCTAGCAAGAGATATAAAAAAACAACTTAAAAAAGGAATAGGAAATGTGGAAATTCTGGTTGGGGACAGTTACTGTTGTTTAAGAGAACGTTATCCTTGGAAACCCCTCCATAAAAGGATGGTGATGAAGCAAATCTTGAATACGTATTGATTCATGAAATTGATACAGGAATTCTCAAGTTGATTCAAGTATCAAAAACTATGCACTTAGCGAGTTAGCAGAGCTTCTTTTTTTGAAAATTCAAATTTAAGAGGACGTTAGTGCCATTTCAGTTGTCGAATGCTCCACCCATAGTGTGTGGACAGCACAATTTAGCACCCGCGAAGTAGAAATTGTAGGGAAACTGCATATATTCTTAAAGTCGAACCGTTTTATAGTTCGGATTCAAGTTTTTCCTCATAATGATCAGATATGTTTTTGTTGTACTGTAATTTGGTTAGCTTGATTCCAGAGTTTATGCTAATGGGCCCGTTATTAGCATGATGACTGGCAAACTCTTAGTMTGTTACAGAATGACACCTTGAATGARAGAGGTTCTTTAATATTTGGAAATTTATTGTGACATCTTGCTTGCAGCTGGAGGTTCAATGGTACATCCACAKGYATGTCTTGCATGCCTATATATAATGTGTTTCAAGGCCTTGTGAGTCTTACAATAATAACTGAAACCAACAGAACTAAGCAAAGTGTTGTGATGCTGGTTGAGATTGATAGGGTGACCATTTATGAAAACAACTTAATTTTCTACCCCTTTGGGTACAACATCCTATTCCTCCCGTGCCCTACTTTCGAGTGGGATATACTGGAATCATTTGGTGTGGTCTTTAAAGTCAGGTTCCTGTCTATTACTCTTATAGATGCCAATTTTATACTGTTTGCCACTATCTGTTTTGGTATTTCATTATGCGACTTAGATGTAGCAGTAGCGGGTYATCATAYGAGTCAAGAGCGGAGGTACGTTGGTTATATTGTTATAAACTTTCTCATTGCTAAAATTGGGAACAAATTACTGATTTTGTCGAATATTTAATATTTACAGGTAGCGGAGTTGAGGGAGAAGTTGGCAAAGGTAGAGAAGGAGGCACAGTTACGGGAGGAACGTCATCTGGCTGAAATGGAGGACGAACGGAGGAAGAGGGCAGATTTGGAGGCAGAACAAGCCAGACAAGCTGCTGCATTAGCCCAACAGGCCGCATTATCGGAGCATTTTGCTACGTTTATGCGGCAGTCAGGATACATTTTCCCAACTCCCCCACATCCCGATAGTTAGATTATATGTATTCGAATATTAAATTGTATGAATTAAATATTTAAATTTTATGAATCCATATTTTAAATCGTATGAATTGGTTATTAAAATTTGTTTACAGTTTTTGTTTGTTAAATATTTTCAGGTTATTTTTATAAATAAATACAGGAATTATCCAATTTCAAAAAATTTATTTTTTAAATTTATACAAATTAGCGACGGATTAGCGAGGGAAAATCCGTCGCTGAAAGTCCTCAAAAATTCCGTCGCAGATCCGTCGCTGAAGGTTCCGTCGCAGATCCGTCGCTGAAGGTTCCGTCGCAGATCCGTCGCTGAAGGTTCCGTCGCAGATCCGTCGCTGAAGGTTCCTTCGCAGATCCGTCGCAGATCCGTCGCTGAAACTATCCCTCACTGACCCGTCGCTGAAAGTGTCCCTCGCAAATCCGTCGCTGATATCCGTCGTTGATCCGTCGTTGATCCGTCGCTGATAACATTACCTACGACTATTTGACTGACGGAGTATCAGGGACGGATCAGCAACGGATTGCCCTTTCAGCGAGGGATTTGCGAGGGATTTTTCCCTCGCTGATACTCTGCATTTTTGTAGTGAAAACGGGAGTAGGGCGGACGCTTAGGCTGGATCGGAAGCGAGTGAACAAGTGATGTAGTAGGCCTTTGTTGAAGATGCCCTTGTATTAATGTTTGGTGGGGATGTGTAGAATGCGAATGGTGTCGATGCATGTGTATGTACATACATACATAAATCATACATACATACATCATACATACATACATACGTGTATATATATATACACATGTATATATATATATATATATGTGTAAATATATATATATATATATATATATTCTTTCTTTTATAAATATAACAATTCATAAAAACTTGCAAAACCATTTTTCATGCAACACATATGAAAATATAGTGTTGTTTCACATTCCATATACAAAACAATCCAAAACATTTCACATATGAAACAACACTGTAAACAACACTGTATAAACACTGTATTTTCATACTTGTTGCACGAAAACTCTTGTTGCATGAAAACTTGGTTAAGTTTGTACAATTTATTGGGTTTGTAATTAAAGATTATTTATTATATAAGTATGTATATAATAGTAATTATACAATGCATTAAGTAGTCAAGCGAGCCAAATGACTTATATCATATGGTGAAGCATCCATTGGTGAGCGTGCAGTATATGCCCTTGTTGCAGTAATGGTATTAGAAGCCTCAGTAGGATGAAAACCATCATAGAATGTAAATAAAGCCCGATCTTGGCAAGGACTTCCGTTTGGAATGCATACCCATCCTTCACCTACTTCACAACAAGGACCATTTCGCATACCTGAAAATTCCCAAAGAATCTTAAATTATAAACCAACTTTAGACCTGATTGTACTGCTAGGTTATGCAGTTCAACCTATCATGAAATCAGTTGTATATGTATGTATGTATGTATGTATGTATGTATCTATGTATGTGTATATATATATATATATATATATAGAGAGAGAGAGAGAGAGTGGTTCAGGGGCAAAACACAAAAAATGAAAACACTAAGGAACCTTCTAGGAACGATGAATACCATCATAACTAATGTATATAGCTTACCTTCTTGTGTTGATGAAATGCTTGTAATGTTGATGAAAGTGAATCGTGCATCTGAATTTTCATTGTTGAGCTTATCAACAAGAGGCTTAAGCTTATCATTGAATAATTTAACGGCGTCATTGATTGATTCAACACATGGTTTCCCATCAGTGCCAAACCTTCCTATTTCAGCTGGGCGACACCCTATATTTAACAGACCTAAAACAGCTATCTTCCTACCTCCCAATCTGTATAAAGTCTGCCATGCAATATTGATTAGAAAAATCGAATTATAAACCCTATTGTGAAAGAAAGAAGGCATAAGTAACATGATGCATACCCTTAGTTGTTGAGAGTATTGTTGTATAAGGACTGTTGCGTATTGATCTGTCGTATATATGCGGCTTGTGTTGTAATAATCAGGCACGAAGTAGTTGTTGCTGTAATCGTTGATTCCGATCTTTACTAAATAAATGCACTTTTTCAGGAATTGGGTGTTTCGTTGCAGGTGCGAAAGGTGTGAAATTGTCGAATTGTGATTAAGTAACTGTCTATCGAAACTTATCCGTTCACCCTGTGGAATGGCACACCGAAAAATTAATAAAACTTAACTAATGTCTCCTAGCTTGTTAATCGAATGTGGTTATGCATGTCCCAGCAGAATTGAGTTATGTAAACGATGGTCACATATATACCAGTTGGCTCCCTGTTTCCTCTCTAATGCCTGCAGCAGCACTGGCATAGTTTACACCTTTGTTGTTTTGTTCATCAGTTGTAGTAGCATACGGTGGAATGAACTTATCGAAGCCTAGAAGTTGACCTAAAATCAAGCAAATAATTTGTTGACGATAATGTTATTATGGTCTTTATTTTTAAACCTATAATCTAGAGATGCAAAGAAGCCATGTGGACTTGAGCTTGACTAGGTTTGAGCTCAATTTCATGGTGTTAAACTAATCTCAAACTCGATTTGATAGCTCAATGAGTTTTCTTGATGCAAACACCAGTGCAACTCAAAGAAGATTTGGGCTCGATTTGTATGCGAACTAAGCTCAAATACCTCGATAAAACAAACTCAATTCAAGCTTAGACCTAACAATATTAACACGCATGGGTGTAGAAAAACTTGATATGAACTTGGCTCGTTATCTTTTTCGAGCTCAATTTTGTACCAAACTCATAAAATTTGATGCGATCAAGCTCAATTAGAGTTTGAGATAAAATGACTCATTTAAGGCCGTCCCACGACCACTAAGTTAACATACTCGACTAGAAACAAGTTGTGACAAACACCAATGAGATTGAAATATTTATGTTTTCTTCGACGATATAAACAATAATGGGAGAGAGAGAGAGAGATACCAATGATGTCTGCAAAGGTTCGACCATTGGTGAACCTACCCGTAACACCCTGTGGGAAATCAATCCCATAAGGCGGGTAATTGGCTTTACTTGTTGTATTGAGTCTATTGTTATTGCCACTAACTTGAAAGAAAGAGGTGGAGAGAAGAATTATTGTAAATTTTATTCAAAATCAAGCCGTTTTAATAGAAATCTTTAACCTAACGTATGTACTTTCAGTAGCCCAATGAAATAATCATTGTACTACGAAAATCTTGTTGCATAGATCTTCTTGATGAAACGTAAAAAGTTTCCATGCGATAACGTAAAATAATTATCATAATATAAAATAAATAAAAATTAATTTATAATAGGTACTGTTTAAATTAAAAGTGAGTTTTGACAAAACCAGTCCAATTGAATTTAAGAAATCAATTGTTTTTAAAAAAGAACCATCGAAAAATTCTTAAAATGGATTTTTTAAAACATTTTCTAGAAAATTAACTAATTAATTAAGATTTCAGACGGATTTAAATTAATTATTTTATTTAATTAAAATCTGCCCAAATACTAAATTAATTACTTTTTAAGAAAATTAGACCTTTTGATGGTTTTGAAAATAATAGATAAATAATTATTCTGCCTTAAAATTTAGTCAAAATTAAATTTTTTTCTTTTTAAAAAAAAAAAATAAGTGACAGATTTGTAATGAAAGTCAAGAAAATTTAATTGTTTTTATTTTATCGAATCCATCGAAAATCCACCAGTAACTTTCTAACGAAAAGAATCCGTCAGCAAAACTATGATTGTTAAGTTGTGGAAGGGGTTTTCCTATTTTTTTTCATTTTTTTCTTGATGTTATCAAACAATAAAAAAATATAAATCAAAATGATTTAGATTTACAATATATAATGCATGCAATTAAACTACTAATAGATTGTCACATTTTTTTGTTACCATAATGTAGCATACATCAACTTCAAAGAATTCACTTTTAAAACCCCCCCTAATTCTTTCTTCCATTTCTATCAGGATGATAGAGGAGGTGCATTAGCTCCGTCTACCTTAATCAGTTAACCTAAATCCCCCCGGGTGTCAAAGGTTACTAACAGTAATTGATTATATAATAGTTTCATCATATCAGCTAAATTTTTGTCAATTATATGAAAAGAAATATGGTTTTTGAAGGGTTCTTAGGTCTTCCATATTATTATAATTAAAGTAAATTACTAATTTGGTCTCTCTTATTTTTTGGCTGTTATGAAAATGGTCCATAAACTTCATTTATTACAGATTAGGATAGATCGTATGTCTTTTTGTAACGAATTGGTCCCTTCTCCTAACGACCATCCAGTTCCTTCGTTAACCTTGAGGGAATTTTCATCATTTTCCTTTTTTTTTCTTGACTCAAGTGACTAATTTTGTAAAAGTCATACAAACCATAAGGACAAATCCGTAATTACGTCTAAAAAACAAAAAATATTAAGTTTTTGTACTTTGAGTTTATTAAATTAATTAATAATTATACTTTAATAGATATTAGTTATTATATTTTATGTTTAATTTTAATATACAATATATTTTCTTTTGAAAAATATATTATGTACGTCTATATGTGTGTGCACATACATAATAAGGTTCAGGATAAAATGATATATCTTAATTATTAGTTTAATTGATTCAACGAATATCATTAAATGAACATGTACAACAATATTTTTTAAATTAAAAAATCTCACCCCCTCCCCCACCTACTTTTTATTTGAAAAAGGACAAAATATAAACAATAATCGAGTGAAATAAATTACACCCTGAAAATCGTATTTTCTCACTAAATTGACATCCATATTGATATATTTATTTCATCCATTTTTTTCGTGGATTTCCAATTTTTCTTATATTTTTCTTTGAGAGGGAGAGAGAGAGAGAGTTGAGTTCATGGAAAAACGATAAATAAATGAAAAACCAGAAAATCACTAAAAACGGATGAAAAAATATACCAACGTGGTGAAGTTTTTCTTAATTTAAAAATAGTCTTATGAGCATTAATTTAATCACACTCGTTGAATCAATTAACATAATGGTTTATGGTTGATGGAGGTGAGTTTCCCCTAGACGGTTGAAGCTCACTATGTATATACACATACATATATAATATACATATACATCTACATACATACACATACATACATATATATATATATACATACACATACACACTACAAAAATGCATAGTATTAGCGAGGAAAATTTCCCTTGCAAATCCGTCGCCAAAAGAGTCATCCGCCGCTGATACTCCGTCGGTCAAATGCTCGTAGGTAATGCTATCAAGGAGGGATTAGCAAGGGATATCAGCGACGAATTTTGCTAGGGATACTTTCAGCGACAGATCAGCGAGAGAATAACTTCAGCGACATATTTGCGAGGGATAATTTCAACGACGGATCAGCGAGGGAACTTTCAGCGACGGATCAGCGACGGATTAACGAGGGAACTTTCAACGACAGATCAGCGAGGGAACTTTCAGCGACGGATCAACGAGGGAACTATCAGCGAGGGAACGTTCAGCAACGGATCAGCGACGGATCAACGAGGGAACTTTCAGCAACGGATCAGCGAGGGAACTTTCAGCGACGGATCAGCGAGCGACATCGATCAGCGAGGGAACTTTCAGCGACGAATCAGTGAGGAACTTTCAAGGACTTTCAGCGACAGATTTTCCTTTGCTAATCCGTGGCTAATTTGTTTTATTCTAAAAAATAATTTTTTTGAAATTACATAATTCATGTATTTATTTATACAAAACCTGATCATAATATAACAAAACAAAATTGTGAACAAACTAAAACTAACCAATTCATACGATTTAAAATATCCAATTCATACAGTTCATATAATTTAAAATATTCAATTCATACAATTTAATCTTCAAATGCCTAAAATCTAACTATCGGGAAGTGGGGAGGGGGGAAACGTATACTGACTGCCGCATAAATGCAACAAAATGCTCCGATAAGACGGCATGTTCGGCTAATGCAGCATGCTGGCCTGTTCGGTTGCCGAGGCAGCTTGTCTGGCCTCCAAATCTACCCTATTCTTCTTTTCGGTCTCTAGTTCCTCCTCTACCCTTGACAACTTCTCTCTCAACTACATTACCTGCAAATATTCAATATTCGACAAAATCAAGAATTTGTTTGCAATTTTAGTAATGAAAAAGTTTATAACAATATAACCAGCATACCTCCGCTCTTGACTCGTATGATGACCCGTTACTGCTATATCTACCCGTCATAGCATAAGAAGGATCCTGGGTGGTCCCGAAACCAAAGATGCAATCTTTCCTCTGTTCCCCGACACTCTGCTCCCAAAGAGATGCCTCATTAGGGGGGTTGTCGGCACTAGACTGTGACTCACCCCTAAGCGATTGAAATCGCTCCAATCGTTCACCAAAACAAAAACGGGTGAGGTTATATATGTAGAAATTCCAGCAGCATAACGGTTGAAAATCAAACATATCTAATGCCTGTTTTTAACAATTAAATCATTCTAATAATACCAATGTAGTCACATTCTCAACATATCTACTTAGCCTAACGTCTGCCCAACAATGACATCCCAAACTAACAACATCACTATGTTTATTAAAATATATTATCTTAAACCTACCAAACGTATCTATTAACCAAAGTAATTGTTTTAGAAAACTTACATGATACCTAGCATCTTTGGGGTAACTGAACTGAGGAGGATAGGTAGGCGGGTCGGACGAACCTTGATCAAACTTCCGATTCGTGCAGTGAGTGCGCTTAAACACCTTAGTAGCAGTCGACTCACGACCCATTACTTTTGTCTACATAAGATAATTATGTTAAGTTGTTAGTAAACATAAAAAATGAATTACATTTTCAAAAAATATTATATACTCACCATCCTGTCTCGATGTTGTGTAGTATTGATCGATCCCCCAGTGTGTCTGGACGACAACCTCTCAAACTATGTGTTCCGATTAGCCCTATTGATCCTCGATTTTCGTTTCCAAGGCTCGGTATCCCAAACTTGTTAAAAATAGAGCATATATATAAGGGGTACAAAACACATGGCAGTTCAAAAAGCTCACAATAGAGATACATACATGGTCAATCATCTGAAGCCAAAACCTCTTTATGATACATACAGGACGGTGTAATCTAATCAGTGAGAATTCCTCACCATCCCATTTTTGAGCACCGACATAGGCCTATGCCACGGCCCAGTCACGTGCAGCTCATCTAATCTGAGTACCTACTATGCATGGCTTTGGTCCATAAATCATGAACCATATCATTTATCTCTGGTTCCCAATAGAACTTAGCCTACATATACAATATTTGTATACATATAAAAACAATAACCGTATATGTATAATTACATTAAAATGGTACACCAACCTGAAAGTGCTGGAACATCAAGTCGCATGCTTCCTAAGGTACTTCCTTCCATTTATGCCACAGACCAACAAATGAAGACCTAAATATAGTCGTCATCTCCCGGATAACATGGACATCTTTAAACCTGTAGAATTATAAAAAAAAATTACAACACAAAAGACATTCATATCATTTTATCATGTAATACAAAGTCTTATACCACATCTACTTACCCATTGCCTTACAAAGAAAGATGTTTTCATTGGCTCGGATGACTTGGTGCCGGCATCTCATTGTTAGGGCCTCTCCCCGACCCCGAACCTGTCAAAGCTGGGGGCTCCATGGCCACCTCTTGTTCATATAAACCCTGAAAGGCGGTCTCCATGTACTCAACAATGTCATCGGCGCACGGGTCGCCACGCCCACCAGTAGGGTTGCTGCCCCTACCAGACATGGGGCTGTCGCGACTACCATGACAGCCTCTACTGCGGCTTCCAAATGTTATACCCAATTTGGAAGTGTCTCGCAGATATCTTAGAATCTATTTAACTAATTCTCAGTGCTTCTTACCCATATTTGATAGAAACCGACTAACAACACCTACTTCATGGGATATATCACGACTTGTATATACCATCGCATACATCAGACTCCCAACTTACCACTTTAGTTTTATCCACGTTAAATCTGCCAAGTACCTCTCAACGTATTGCTCTTTTGACTTGTGAAGCTTTTTGACAACCCTACTTTGGCTTTACTTGTTGAATTGAGTCCATTGTTATTGCCACTATCCACTGATGAGTCTCCAAATATGAAGTAACATGGAACTTGTGGTTGTTGACTAGCGACTACAAATGTTTGAACTTGCATCAAGCCCATAACTATGAGTAATGGGAACAACAAGATGAGGTCGGAGACCATGTTTATTAGACTCCAAAAAGAGAAATGATGCAACTTGAAAGAAAGAGGTGGACATAAGACTTATTGTAATTATTTTTCAAAATCAAGCCGTTTTAATAGAAAAATCTTAAACCTAACGTATGTACTTTCAGTAGCCCAATGAAATAATCATTGTACTACAAAAATCTTGTTGCATAGATCTTCATGATGAAACGTGAAAATAATAATATAAAACAAATAATAATTAATTTATACAAGGTATTGTTTAAATTAAAAGTGAGTTTTCTGACAAAACGAGTCCAATTGAATTTAAAAAATCAATTGTTTTTGAAAAAGAACCATTGAAAAATTCTAAAAATGATTTATTTTAAACATTTTCTAGAAAATTAACTAATTAATTAAGATTTCAGGCGGATTTAAATTAATTATTTTATTTAATTAAAATCCGCCCAAATATTAAATTAATTATTTTTTAAAGAAAATTAGACGTTTTGATGGATTTTGTAAATAATAGATAAATAATTATTCCGCCTTAAAATTTAGTCAAAATTAATTTTTTTTTGTTTCTTTAAAAAGAATAAGTGACAGGATTTGTAATGAAAGTCAAGAAAAATTAATTTTTTTAAATTTTTTGGATCCGATCCATCGGAAATCCATCCGTTATTTTCTGACGGAAAGAATCCGTTAATAGTGGAAGGGGTTTTCCTATTTTTTCATTTTTTTCTTGATGTTATCAAACAATGAAAATATATAAATCAAAATGATTTTGACTTGCAATATATAATACATGCAATGAAACTACTAATAGATTGTTACATTTTTTTTATTAACCTGGAATCTGGATATCCAACCTGCTATTCGAGCCGACAAATCTCAAGACGACCACTTGTTTTGCAGATAACCCAGAGTCACCACATTTGAACCTCCGTAGCCACAAATGAATTTTTATTTCTTCTTGGATTTGAACCTAGGACCTCCTGACGACCATCCAGTTCCTTCGTTAACCTTGAGGGAATTTTCATCATTTTTCTTTTTTTCTTTACTCAAGGGACTAATTTCGTAAAAATCACACAAACCATAAGGACAAATCCGTAATTACGTCTAAAAAACAAAAAATATTAAGTTTTTGTACTTTGAGTTTATTAAATTAATTAATTATTATACTTTAATAGATATTAGTTATTATATTTTACGTTTAATTTCAATATACAATATATTTTCATTCGAAAAATATATTATGTACGTCTATATGTGTGCGCACATACACACACATATATAGTAAGGTTAGGATAAAATGATATATGTTAATTATTAGTTTAATTGATTCAAGGGATATGATTAAATGAACGTTTATAATAATATTTTTTACATTAAAAAATCTCACCTCCTCCCCCACCTATTTCTTATTTGAAAAAGGACAATATATAAACAAAAATCGAGTGAAATAATTTATATCCTGAAAATCATATTTTTTTCATTAATTATTTCATCCATTTTTTTCGTGGATTTCTAGTTTTTCGTATATTTTTCTAAGAGAGAGAAAGTTGAGTTCACGGAAAACTATAAATAAATGAAAAACCAGAAAATCACTAAAAATGGATGAAAAAATATACCAACGTGGTGAGGTTTTTCTTAATTTAAAAATAGTCTTATGAATATTAATTTTAATCACGCTCGTTGAATCAATTAATCTAATGGTTTATGGTTGATGGAGGTGAGTTTCTCTAAACGGTTGAAGCTCCTTATGTATATACATATACATATATAGGTGGAGGTTCAAACAAGAACACCTCCATTTTACGAGAACGCTAGAACACCCTTATCACATGTGTTAATACGCGTGAGATGACCCTGTGATGTGCGGACGACGTGTTCTACGACTTAGCTCGCGCCAAAGGTTGTATGCGTCTATGATTTAGCATCACATATGATAGTCTTGATGGATTATAGTATCATATCAACAACAACCTTATCACATGTGATAATACTTGCGAGGAGACTTAGTGGTGTAAGGGCGACTTGGCCCAAAACCAAAATCGCATTGAAAATCGTCCACGTCTCTAATTTAGTATCATATGTGATGGAATAATAGTATCACATGTGATTGTCTATAGTAAAAGGGTGTTCTTGCGTTCTCGTAAAATGAAGGTGTTCTCGTTTGAACCCTTCCCTACATATATATATATATATATATATATATATGAGGTTTACTTTGCAAACCACGTTATTTGTACAAACCGTACAAAACTCATTCAACCAATCATAATCTTTCATTTTGTTCATTATTTTTGTAATTATGAGAGGTTGATTAATCATTTTATTGTGGAGGGTGTTAATCATGGATATTATCATCTTCATTGTTTTAATTTTAGAGAAATACATGAAACAATTTCATTAAAATTTCATTAAGTATTATATGAAACAATTTCATAACCATATATGAAACAACATCATCAAAAAAAGTATTATATGAAACAATTTCACAAGATCAAACAATTTCATGAAAAAATTTCATAAGATTAAATAATGAAATCGACGGATGAGGATGATTTACACGGTTTTGTACAAATTGGGTGGTTTGCATTTAATAAAATTGGAGATTTTAAGTTGTCAAATAATGTAACCTTATTTGATGTGTTGGTTGTTCCATATTTCAATGTTATCATGTTATTTGTGCATAAACTTGCTAGGGACAATAAAGTGTTTGTAGGTTTTGATGAATCGAATTGTTATGTTCAGAATTCGCTATGAAAGAATGTAGCGGGGACTGGTAGTCAAGAAGAGGGCCTGTATTATTTTAATCAGTGTTTTAACAGTGAGTCTTCTTGTGTTTCTCAAAGTTCTAACATTTGTTGCTTAGCTTCTGCCTAACTATGGCACAGTCGTCTAGGTCACCTTGCTGACCAAGTCTTGAAACTGTTAAAAACAAATCTTAAAATTAACAATGTTGACTGTGGTCTATGTGACATTTGTCACAAGGCTAAACAAACTAGAGAAAAATTTAGTCTAGTATTCATAACTCTAAAGACCTAGGTGACCTGGTTCACTTAGACGTCTCGGGTCCTTACCATGTTCAAAGTAAGGAGGGCTATAAGTATTTCCTTACTGTTGTTGACGATTATACCAAGGTTGTTTGGGTTTTCTTGTTAAAAGCCAAAGATGAAGTAGAAGTAAACATTGTAGTTTTTTTATAATTTGATCAATACCCAATTTAGAAAATGTGTTAAAATATTTAGGAGTGATAATGGGTCTGGTTTTATGGGTAAAAAACTAAGTGAGTTTTTAAAAAATAAAGGAATTTTACATCAGACATCTTGTGCATATACTCCCTAGCAGAATGCGGTGGTAGAACGTAAACATCGTCATCTTCCAAATATTGCTAGGGCTCTTATGTTTCATGGAGGAGTCCCCCTAAATATGTGGAGTGAATGCATTCTTACAACCACTTACTTAATAAATAGAACCCCCACTTCTGTGTTAAATGGTAAGTGTCCATATGAATTAGTCTATGGATTCCAAACTGTTCTTGCTCATCTTAGAAACTTTGGATGTCTCATTTTTGCTGTCATACCTAATGTTATAGATAAATTTTCTCCAAAATCTGAAAAGTGTGTCCTGTTAGGATATGTTGGGTCAAAGAAAGGTTACAAATTGTTTAGTTTGGAATCTAAAAGGTGTATTATTTCTCGTGATGTTAAATTCTATGAAAACATCTTTCCTTTCAAGATGAGGGTTAACAAGGTTGTTAATCCAATTACGGTGATATTAACAGATTAAATTTCTTTGAATTCATTCACTGTTCTTTTAATGAGTTTGTGGATGCCATACCCAATGATGAGAATGGAGACAAGTCTGCTGATAGGCATACATATCAGCAAGGAACTGACCCTAATAACTATAGATTACTAGGTAGCCCAACTAGAGTTGCCAACTAGGAGCCTTTAGGCAGCTCAAACGTGTCAATTAATCTAGACTCTTCAACTCAAGTTGAAAACAATAATAAAAGAGTTACTAGATAGCAACTCCTGAGTGGCTATGATGAGGCTGCTAGTAATCAGCCTCGTGATGAAAATCATTCTAATAATCTCATTTCTGAGGGTAACTCTAGTATACGATCTTCTAGTCAAACTATTAGAAGGTGCACTAGAGTTTATGTGTTTCCACATAAATTTGATGATTTTATTGTTGAAGGAAAAGTTAAATATGGTTTAGAAAAGGTTTTCAATTATTCTTTCCTGTCTTCTGAAAATCTATGTTTTGTATGTAACTTAAACAAGTCTCTAGAACCTAAAAACTTTCAAGAAACATGTAAAGATATAAATTGGATTAGTGCCATGAATGATGAAATGGAAGCTTTACATAGAAATGGTACTTGGATGATAACAGACTTACCTCAAGGTAGAAAACACGTAGGTTGTAAATGGATATATAAAATAAAGTATAAATCCAGTGGGTGAATTGAAAGATACAAAACAAGACTTGTAGCTAAGGGGGACAGTCAAAGAGAAGGTTTGGATTATGAAGAAACTTTCTCTCCTGCTGTAAAAATGGTTACTGTTAGATGTATTATATCCTTAGCTCTTCAGAATAAATGGAATTTATATCAATTAGATGTTAATAATGATTTTCTCTATGGAGACTTGAAGGAAGAAGTCTACATATCATTGCCTGAAGGATATTATAATTGCAAAGATAAACATGTATGCAAATTAGTTAAATCTTTATATGGTTTAAAACAAGCTCCAAGGCAATGGTATGCTAAATTGTCTTCCTGTTTAGTTGAACATGGATTTATTCAACGCATAAATGATTACTCTCTGTTTACCACGAAAGTTGAATCTGTTTTTATTATTTTTTTGGTATATGTAGATGATATTGTTGTTACTGTAAATCGTGAATCTGAAATTGAAAAAGTAAAAGTTTTTTTTGAAAAGTAAATTTCTTATAAAAGATTTAGGAAAACTAAAATTTTTTTTGGGTATGGAAATTTTAGATTGTTTTAACGGTATTTGTATGTCTCAAATAAAATACTGTTTAGAGTTGTTTTAGGGTGTAAACCATGTAATACTCTCATGGATATAAATTTAGTTGTTACTGATTCAAGTAATTGTAAAGATCCTCCTTTAACTGATCAAACTGGTTATCAAAGACTTATTGGAAGACTAATATATTTTACTTGCCACTAGACCAGATATTGCATTTGTTGTTCACTGTTTGAGTCAGTTTATGTATTCACCTAGACAGTCTCATTTAAAACTTGCTCTAAGAATTCTTAGGTACTTGAAGCTGTCACCAAGTAAAGGTGTTAGCTTTAGTAGAGCAGAAAATTTTACCTTAACTGCTTTTGTCGATGCTGACTGGGGTAAGTGTTTATCTTCTAGACGATCTGTGACAGGTTTTTGTTTATATATAGGTAATTCCATGGTTTTATGGAAAAGTAAGAAACAAAGTACTGTTTCTTGCTCTTCTTCTGAATACGAGTATAGAGCTATGGCTTCAGCAACATGTGAAGTCTTGTGGGTTCTGAAAATTCTTACTGATCTCAATGTTTCAGATTTGATACCTATTTCTTTATATTGTGATAATAAATCTGTTATTCAAATAGCTAACAATCCTGTTTTTCAAGAAAAAACTAAACATATTGAAATTGATGTTCATCAAATTCGTGAAACCATTAGTAAAGGTTTGATTAAAGTTGTAAACATCCTTTCCTCCGAACAACTTGCTGATATTTTTACTAAGGCTCTTGGGGTTAATCATCATAACTCCTTATGTTCTAAGTTACGGATGATTGACATATTCAAAAGTCAAGATTAAGGGAGGGTGTTAAAAGATATGATTTTTTTAATCAATCTTTACTTTTGTTGTATTGTTTTTTCAGTTAATAAAGTTAAATGACTGAAGCTGTTATAAAGGAAAAGTTGTTGGTTTATGTCGAGGGACCATGCCTCACTTTATGGAGAACATCAAGGGTAGCAGAATCTTTATTCAAGATTCTTGGAGGGCTAAACTTGCAAATATAGGTTTTATATATAAGCTGGGTTTTTTTGGCTTTTAGCTCATAGATACGATCATTTTTTTCTTTTAAATCTTGCATATCAAATTTGGTTTTCTCTCAAACGCTTTATCAATCTTCATATATTTTGGTTAATAGTTCTTAGATATAGGGTTCTTTGTTTACTTTTGGTATTGTAATAGTTGATAACATTGAATAAGAATTTGGTTTATGTTTTGTTCACACACCCACCACAGCACGCCGAGCTCCTACCCAGATGATTTGCGCCCCCTTCTCCGGTGGACCACACCCTCTATCTATTTTGAAGTTCTAGGTTTCTGGAAGAGTGGAAGATCACCTGGACTACAGATCAAATGGTTTATTATAAGGATCAAATGACAGGTATCATCTGGGTATCATCTGGGACTGACAAGATTCAAATACAAAGGAAACCAAGGGACCAAATAACATATTTAGATTTTGATATATATGCTGTAAATGGATTATACCAGAGACCAAATCACAACTTCATCACAAGCATGGATCGGTGGTGTATGAGTTGGATGGAGTTCCTGGTGATAAGGGGGAAGGAGGACGTTGTAGTACTGGTGTTCCTGTGTTCCATGAGTTCCCTCTCCGATAAAAGTAAGATCGGATGATGTCTCTATGTTAGTTCGTCCCCCGTGTGTTTGTGTGCATATATATAGTAATAAATTAAATAAATAAATAAATAATATTCTTATTAGTTTTAAAAAGAAAAGGAAAAAGAAGAAAATAAGTCTGAAATGCCTCTTGTTTTAATGGAAAAAATAAACTAACGTTTACTTCCATAGAAAAATAAAAGCCACAAATATAATTTATAGATTTATCAAAATACAGGTCCCACTCTCAGATCTTTTATTAAATCTTAAGGACCAAAATTAGGGTTTTTAATTTAGACTAATATACTCTCAAAATCAACATTTTAGGGGCCATTTACCTAAACACTTATCCGCTAAGCACCTATCGGTAAAATTCAACACTATCGCTTATTTATCGGGTAAGATTTTATTCATTAAAACGCATCGTATGCAACAATTTATCCCAGCAAGCGCTAACCATGGTAAGAGTCCTCGTCCTAACTTACCCAGTAAAACTCTCGATTCTTGCCTTCGCTCTTACCGGGTAAGATTATTAGCCTTTACCATATTCATCCGGTAAAGCAAAGAATCACTTATCCGGGTAAACGTTTGGTAAACGACACCTTAACATCTATATTTTCATAAAGACATGTATTAGTAGATGGTTGGTTGGATGTGGCATTGGTAGTCAATTGGGGTACTTAAATACTAGTTTTTGATAATATATTTTTCAAATTAATAAAAGTTTAAACCATTAGTATTAATGATGATGAACCAAATCATAAGCATCGAATTAATTAATTTTACTTTGCGTGTTTCCATTTAGATACAACAATTTAAAAAGTAATAAGCAAAAAAAGCCAATCATGTTTACTATCATCAATATTAGTTATAATTTTAAAATTTGTTTAGCTACCAAATTAAGTTAAACATATCTTTTTTTTCGTAATAACAATAGACACGTTTTTAGTACATATCCCCTATTCCTTCTAAGAGAGATTTGAAACTAAACGATGGATATTGATCCATATGAAATACACAAATTGGTATGCATTTTTCTACATATAAACAATAACACGTAATTGCTCTTCATCATGCTTACGCTTTTGCACAAAAACGTGTGACATATCATATTGAATGTTAAAGTCGAGCCAAATGACTTATATCATAAGGAGATGCGTCCATTGGTAAGAGCCCAATATATGATCTTGTCGCAATGACGATATTAGAAATTTCCGAGGGATGGAAACCGTCGTAGAAAATAGACAATGTGCGGATCATGCAAGGAAATGAGTTTGGAACACATTGCCAATCTTTCCTTACATGACAACAAGGAGTACTTGGCAATGGCACATCTGCAAAAATTCCAATGGATCTTAGAAGACTGATCTAATTAGGTAATGTATGGGTTGATGTTTAAGTTCTTTAAGTTAGTTTTTAACCTAATTGCTCATAACTCATAAGTTACCTCCAAGTGGTAATAAAATGCTTGTAAGGTTTATGAAAGTGAATCTTGCGTCTGAGTTATTATTGTTGAGCTCATCAACAAGAGGCATAAGCCTATCATTGAATAATTTAATCGCGTTGTTCACAAACTCTACACACGGTTTCCCATCTGTCCCAAACTTGTTCATCTCAACCGGGGTGCACCCCATCCTAGTTAGACCAAACACAGCAACCTTCCTACCTCCCAATCTATACAAAGTCTGTCATACATCAAGCAAACCATCAGAAACATAAGGTAATTTTATGTCAAAAGCTCACTTGGAAAGAAATAGATATTACAACATAATCGGATTTATAGAACGCCTAAAATGTATATGTATTGTAATTGATTGTTTTATAATACGTAAGTTTATAATGTCAAACAATTATATGTCTTGTAAAAGTGTTACAATATGTTTAAAAGAAACTTTTGAACATCTTAACAATTTTATTAGCCTTTGAACGTCTTAATATAAAGTGTCTTCTTAGCTATCTATAAGAAACTTTATTCAGAGCAGCATCATGTGAATACAATTTTTTGTACGACACTTTTTAAATAATGTGAAAGAACAAATTGATGGAACGTTTTATTTAAAAGAGTCCTAAATTTTTTTTAAAGACGTATAATTGTTTTAGGATATTGAGACATTTTTAGCTTCCTATAAACCTCGTTATGTTATAGTGAGAAAATAGTGACATCATGGGTATCTTTGACACCCGGAAGGAACGATCACAATGAATAAGGCGAATGTTAAGAAAAATAAGACTAAAGTGAGCGAAAGAAGATACAAGTAACAAGGAGAAGGTGTGTACCCTTAGTTGTCGAGAGTACTGTTGTATAAGGACTTCTGCATATTGATCGGTGGAATATATGTGGCTTGTGTTGTATATGTCATATAGTAAATAGTTATTGATGTAATCGTTGCTTCCTATATTTACTACGTAAATGCATTTTTTTAGTGTTTTTCTTTGAAAGCGCGAAAGGCGTGAAATTGTTGATTTGTGACGAAGTAATTGCCTATCCAAGCTGATCCGATCACCCTGTGACGAAATAATAAACAAGCAGATATAACTAATTAATGTCTCCTTGTTGATCGGCATATCTAAATAAAAAGTTTCATGGATGTTTTATAAGAAGTATTTATGCTTGAAGGACCATAAATCCACAAAGTGAAAATTCATGTAGAATAATGAATGTTCATCATTTTTGGAAGGATGTCACAAACTATGTCTAGACTAATTAATCCTGACAAATTGTGACTGCAAGAAATCAACCATAATAAACTCAATTGCTACAATTGTAGTTTAGGCATGGAATCGAACCTGTCCATATGGGATTTCCATCAAAAGAAAAAATGGAATGTACGGTACTCAAAAGTAAGATTTGGAAAAGGTAGCATGTGTAGGCATAACTCTTCTTTGAACCACCCCAATGGGTAGAGCGGCCGTTTACATTAATTATTTTTTAAGAGAAATGAAAAAAAAAATGCCGGGTACCGGTCTCATTGCAAATGATGATTACCAAATGACTTCCTGATTCCTCTCGAATGCCAGCACTCCCGCTGCCGTAGTTTACACCTTTGCTGATTTGTTTGTCAGTTGCATTAGCATACGGTGGAATGAACTCACGGAAACCTAAAAATTGACCTGAAATCAAGCAAGCAGTTTGTTGACCTCAATATTATTTCTGTACATGTTTTTCACTTAAACATGTGAAAAATATATGATATATTTTGTTGGAAAATTTGGCAGACTAAATAAGTATTCAAAATCATTGTTCGTCTTGTAATATATATATATATATATATATATATATATATATATATGATATGTGTGTAGGTGTGTTTTTCTTGCGACTATGAACCTATATGTTACTACCAAACAACAATGATGCTATGTGCCTATTGCGTACAAGTCCCGACTAATCGCGCATGCTTTGAAGTAAAATAACAGTTGGAGAAACTTCAAGTCGTGTTCAGGGGACTCGAGGTGAATAAAAAACTTAAGGTATTACCATTTGAGTTGTCTACAAAGGTCACAAAAACTAAATGTTCCTTTGGTCGCCTCAACTATTTGGTTCAGTAGCTTTCCCTTCTTTCTACTTACTTATTATATATAAGCGGTAATGAGGCCTGTTGGGAGCATTTTAGTCAAATGGGAGCTTTTTCAGAAATCCCTTTGCATGTTATAAACATATAAAGAGCGAAGAAAAAGGACCGTTTAACAAAAAGTGAGAAAAGAGAAAAACCGATGATGTCTGCCATGGTTTGACCATTGGTGAATCTACCGGTGACACCTTGTGGGAAATCAACCCCATAAGGCCGGTAATTGGCTTTAGCCTTCGTAACGAGTTCATTGTTATTGCCGCTATCAACCAGCGAGTCTCCGAATATGAAGTAACAAGGGACTTGTGGTGCAAAAGAGACTACAAAAGTTTCGAGGTACCATAACATGATTATAAAGACATGGACTGAGAATAACCCGCTAAAGTCACGAGCCATGTTTGGATTTCAAAGAGGGATGATGATGGATTTGATGCAAAATGCATACCACTTAAAAGAAAGAGAAAGCGAGGTGGGGAAAAGAGTTAGGCAAAGTACCAAAAGATTTGGTGACAACTAAAAACGTGGGAGTTTATTGTCAAAATCAATTTACTCTGAATGGCAAAACGTTTCTAATCATCGCATTGGCTGGTAAAGTAGCAAACTAACTATTTCACTTTTAAACATATAAAATAATAGATGTAAACTTATCATTTTAAACCTTCTAATCATCGGTACTGGTCTAGTTTATTATAATAAATTGTTGATCAATTGAACAAGTCCGTTAAGGGCATGGATACGTAAAACTCCTACAATATCATAACAAAGTGTTAATTAATTTACAAAAATTTAGGGTTGATTTATTTTACAAGATTTGATAAGATTGGAGAGATTTGAAATTAAAATCCATATTTAAAATCCCGAAATATTAATGAAATCCCACAATGGACAATTTAGAAATCGTTTGAGAGATGGTTTTTCATTTCAAATATGAACCTCATGGATTTTAATTGTTTACGTAGCATCTTTTTCTTGTCTTTTTAATCAAATTTGTCTTGATCTGTTTGTTGTGTCGATATCTTACCGTGACAAATAAATTATCTATAAAAAAGACAAATATTTACAATAAATAAATAAATTATATTACAAATTTTACAAACCAAACAAGATTTATAAAAAATAAAATTATATTTCATTATAATTCTTATCAACCAAACACTTCAAAAATTTCAAATCATTTCAATTTTAAATAATTTATGAAATACAAATCTTTAAAAAACATTCCGTCAAATCAAATGTACTGAATATAGAATGCATGTTGCCGAATCATGTATGATTTTGTACGTCAATCATATATGATTTTGTACATTAACGATTTCTTTTCTTGTTTTTTAAATAGTTAGCGTTTTCTTTTGAAACTGTCCCTATATATATATATATATATATATATAAAGTTAGAAAGAGAATTATAAATATGTCAAAAATATTTCTTAAATATGATATTTTTAACTTTATATAACATTCCTAAATGTTGGTTGCATGTTACCTTTTTTTATACGACCTAGACCAAAGAAGGCAAGAACTAGTGGGTTCGGAGGCCTAGGTCGCGCCTCAAGCCGCATGCCCATTGCCAAGCCTGTCATGCGTCCTCTCGCGGCCTTATTAATAGGAAGAGATATCATTAATATTTTGTATGTCCCTTATCTATGTTACAAATTTGTATTAATCTCTTTTCTCTAAAGTAGATTGTTTTCCTTTTATTGACTAGTACTCTTGTATGTATTTGATGACTTGCATCATGTAAAAGTGCAAGGAATATACAAAGATTTATATTGTATTAGAGCCTCTTTTCTCTTCACCTTAAATTGCTACGGCAACCTCTCCATCTCTTCTCCTACATACAGTACCTACCTATAACCCTCTTTATGGCTTGTCGTGCTGATCATACTCCTCCATTCCCTCCACCGACCAAAAATCTTCATCCGGTCTATACCATCACAAATACATAACATAAAGTCCTAGTCTTCGATGGAACCATGGTCACCTACACATCCTGGATAAATCTTTTCAAGCTTCACGCTCGTGGTTACAAGGTCCTCCACCATATAGATGGCACCCTGCCAGTGCCACCAACCGCGACTAATCCAACGTTTGAATCTTGGAATGAAGTCGATTCTTATATTCTACAATGGATATATGGTTCTCTCTCTCAAATGACCTCCTAGTTTGTGTGTTGGAATCCGATTCCATGGTATACAAGGCTTGGAGACGCCCCAAAAACCATTTTCAAAACAACAAGAGCTCTCGTGTTGCCACCCTTGAACATGAAATCAACACCTTCACTCTCAAGTCAATGTCATCCCTAAATACCTGGTCAGTGCCTCAAAGACCTCCCTAATCAATTAAAGATGTTGATTGCAATGTCAATGACAAAGATATTGTTCTATATTTTGTTCCTGGACTACCTTCTAAGTTTGACACCACTACTGCCTTCATCAACCAGAGCCTGCCAAGTTTTGACACCGCCCGAAACATGTTCCAGCTAGAGCAACAACACCACTTGGCACGTGATACACTGCATTTGTCACTACTCAAGCAGGTCACTTGACAACCAACGACCCCAACCATCAACCAACATCCAAGATCCAATAATAATTATCAATGTAGAGTTGGTCTCTACATGGTTGTTGTGGACTTGCTCTGCCCTACGGCAGCAACCGACATTACAACGGGTCCTGACGCCCATAAACCCTTCATTTGTTCCTATCTTCACAATGGCCACAAAACTTGAGGCCAAACTAGTGGTCTGCTCCTCCCTTCGTTAATGCTTTGGGGCTAACTGACTTAGGCCAGGCTTTCTAAGCGATGACTCTAATCCTACCTGCAAATCAATGGTACATGGATATTAGAGCATTGTCTCATTTCACTTCCCATTTCACTTCCCACCCAGGTATCATAAAATGCTAGTATTCGATCTATATGTATTGGCAATGGTACTTTAATTCCAGTTCATGGATTAGGCTCTTCCACCCTTCTCACACCCCACCGTCCACACCCTTGCCTTTACGCCAGTAGTTCTTCATTCTCTTATATTTTTTCTTCGACTTAATATATTTATCGCCTTTTGATTTGACGGAGGATGATGCGGAAGATTGCTTCACAACTTTCTTAGACTTGCACTCACTTGCACAATATCCTTTGCATTCATAGTTAAAGCAGATCATTGAAGCCTTAGCAATCGGTGTTGATTTTGGCTTGTCAGTGATAGTTTTTTTTTTTTTTTGTAAGGGTGTCCGGGCCAAAGCCCGACTAATCCCCGGCAAATTTGGAGGCTAAACATGGCCCCACTTAAATGTCGCCAACACTCCCCTCCCAGGGCTCGAACTCGGGTTCATGACTATGCCATGCCTAAGCCTTTACCACTAGGCTGGAAGGTATTTGACTTGTCAGTGATAGTTAGTGTAGGAGGTCCTTGAAAGTTACTTTTTCTGGTGAATCTTCTAAAGGAATTTGTAAGAAGAGCCAGTGACTTATCAAACATTAAAAGATCGACGTCTGTTATGTCCTCGAAGTTAGATAAGTCTAACTCAATGAATGTGAGAGTGGGAGTTGTCACTGAAGGAGTCTTAGAGGGTAAAGCTACAGGAGAGCTTTTTGACTCTTTTGAATCTCGTATGAGTTTCTTCTTCAGTTGGCAAGATTGCTTATGATTGTGCAAAATCTCATATAAAGTGCTGAGAGATATTGGACATGTCTTTTGACATTTTAAGACACATGGTATAACTATCCTATGATTCTGGCAAACATTCTAGGAATTTTGTTAGTGTTTCAGAGTTGGAATATTCTCTTCCAATGGTTATGAGGTCTGTAAGTAGGCAGTTAAAACATTGATGTACTTTAAAAAAAGATTCAGCTTGCCATAAATGAAACTTTCATATTATCGCACCAAGATTATCTTTCTTGTTTCTTATACCTCAATGGTACCTTCATATTGAACACACAATATGTCCCACATGGATCTAGAGGTTTTAAGCTTCATGACATAATGATATATCTCATCAGGAAGAGACATAACTATGATAGATCTAACTTTAGTATCAAGAGCCATTTTCTTCTTGTGTTCATTGCTCCATTGGTGAGGGAGCTTTGGAATCTGCCTTTCAGGTATGTCAACAGTGGTAGCATTGGCAAGATATGCTAGAGATATTGCAAATGGAACAATATGATTCATTTTCAACATATTAAAGGATCTAAGGATCCATGCCTTCTAGAAATAGAGACATTCGATTTTTCCAGAGACTGAACTTGTCACTACTAAATTTGGGAGGTTTGGCAAAAGAGTCATTATCGTGATAGTTTGTGTTGGTGTTTTGCAAAGCCATTTAAAGAAAATGGAAAATAGATTACCTTTAAGATACATATAAGAAAAACACTACTCTGATACCACTTGTTGGTTCTAAACGGATCTACAAGAGTTTTAAAGGTAACAAAGACACAAATTTTCTCTTTTTAAATTCTTTTATTGATGAAAGAAAATCAATATAGAATCTACAAACTATTACGAAAATAGATAAGGTAAAGACCTAATCTAAGAAACACACAGGAAATGACAAAGAAGATTAAGAACAAGAAAGAAGATAGTACGTAGAAGAAATAAAAGGCGTTGCTGAGAAGAGAAGTCTTCTCACCTATTTATGCCCCTTGCATTTAATGCAAGTTAGAGGGTACAAGCCACGTGGAAAACTTCTAGCAAAGAGCTTGTCCTTTGTCTTTAGAAATACAGGCTTCTAGCCGCATATAAACAGTTGTATTTCACAAAATTGGTAACCACGTTTGGAGATAATATAGTAACTTCGAACGTGTGTCTTTCTGGGTGAGTTATAGGGTTGTCCTTTTTGTGCATATAGGATAAGACAAAAACTAATCTTGTTGAGCAACATTCATTTGATCCCTGACACTGATTCATCTCTAAAGGTTCTTCAATATTTGTTGAATCATGATCAAATTTCATACTTTGATTTAGACATTCTGTAATCAATGAATCTACATCAGATCACAACTATCATATCTCTTTCTCCAACTACTTCTTTGACATCGCTGGAGGTTTCTTTGGTGTGAGTTTTTTCTTAAGAGAATACTTGTTCTTTGAAACGTTCATAATACATGTTCAACGATCGCTGAACAGACTCAGAGATGATCGCTGAAACTGAACACAAATAGATAGAGTATACTTCACTAAGTATGAAGGGTCATCATCAAATCACTGAGAGAGTTTGGACCAACAGTAATGACTTATCTCATTCTCTATCCAGGCATCTATCACTTGATGTCTTATTTTCATGGAATCACATTTGGCATTTTGGGTTTGATAAATCCTCTAATTGTAGGTGTCCAATATATCTATGTTCATGACTCTTTTTTGAGCTATTTTCATTGTTTTTATTCTTTCATATATTCAT